AACTTCGCTGCTGTCTTATTTTGAGAAATGGCCACAGCCATGGACACGGAGGCAGGACCCTCCACCAGCAAAAAGATTACAACTCACTGAAAGATCAGATGATGGTTAGTATGTTTTAGCAGTAAGGTATTTTTTTTAAATGTTTTTTATTTATTTCAGAGAGAGACAGCATGAGCAGGGAAGGGTCAGAGAGAGAGAGAGAGAGAGGGAGGGAGATACAGAATCTGAGGCAGACTCCAGGCTCTGAGCTAGCTGTCAGCACAGTCGGGATGCTCAACCGACTGAGCCACCCAGGCACCCCAGCAGTAAGGTATTTTTAAATTAAGGTGTGTGCACTGGTTTTTAGACATCATGTTGTTGCACTTGACTAAAGCATCGTGTAAATCTAACTTTTAAATGCACGGGGAAGCCTAGTAATTTAGTAATTCATCTGACTTGCTTTACTGTGATATTGCAGAGTCTGGAATCAAACCGTTAAGACCTCCACGGCATGCCCTCACTAATGTACCCAGTGAACGCCCAGTCTCCCATTGGCCTCAACCTTGAGATTACTTCTCCCCAGTAAGCCATCTCTGTCTGAAGCTCTTGTACTGCTCCGTTTGTCACATTCACCTCTTCTCTGGTCTGCGAGAATGTGGGGAGGAAAGAAACTATTTATAAATTCACCTGTCTCCTCCCACTGGGTAGCCTGGTGCCTGGCAAAGAGTAACTCAAATGCTCACTGAATAAATAAATTAACCAACAAATTTCCCTTTGTCAGGCTTTCTGAAAGCCCTGTACCAACCTAACAGCCACATAAATAATACGAGATGTCGGACTGCTGTCTGCAGCCACGCCAAGTGTCAGAGATCGAAGACTACTGGCACAAATACAGCTACGCTGGCTCCCTGGGCAGTGACGGCCTAGTACAGGAAGTAAGCTGTCATCTTCACTTGCCTGTGAAAGTCTTTCCGAATGTGAAGCAAATTCAGGAAACGAAAATGATTTGCTCTCTTCCTACACCACATCTAAGAGTATCCCTTCCCTTTGTCACAATTTCGTGGATCATCAGAAAAAACCCATTTGCAGGAATATCTAAGGAGGAGCCTCAACATATATGTTCTTTGTAATGACAAACCCTGAAAAACAAAGGGAGAACGACTTCTCGTTAAGAAGCCTGTGAATTAAAACATCTAACAGGCACAAGTCTCCTTTTAACGTCACCATCACCAGTGAGGTCAGGGCTCTTCCAGGGACGCCACCAAGCAAACTCCTGGTCTACTGCTGGCAAGCATCTTCTGAGCATGAGCCACGAAATCCATTAAAATACACTCTGGGAAAGGGATCACCTGTAATAACTGAATTATTCTGTACAGGCAGAAATGAAATTTATGCTTCAGTTCTATCAAGAAACCATCTGAGTCTCCTGGCAAGCCGGGAGTGTCCACTGCACCCTCCTGACGGGGCCACAGGTCCCCAGAGCGGTCTCTCTGAGGGCCGTCCTCCCGGCGCATCCCCCCGAGGCAGGCAGGTAGCCTCGGGGCCCTTCTGATTGCTTACAAGATGAGCCAGCAAGGCGCATTCACCATGTCCCCTCCCACCAAGACGGCACAGCCGAGACCTGAGTGAGGACAGCTTCCTCGCCTGTTTCGGTTCCCAAATAGGCGGTTGCCTGTCTACCTTCCGCCCCAGAACATGACACAGAAATACATTAGGCACCATCTTCACTAAGTATTTTCCTCTGCATCAATGGACTTTAGAAAATGATCCCAGCTTAGAAATAATGTTGCGATTCCTCTGTGTTTCTCTTCTAGACGCCACAAGACCTTCCAGATAACAGCTCAGGAGACCTACACTTTCAGAAATGCTCACATGTTGACAGCTTTAAGGCTGTGGGAGAAGCAGCTAATTTCTCTGAAGGAAGAAGACAGAGCCCAGGCAGAAGTGGGAAAGTAGTGAGATACACTTGATTTCAGAAAGTCTTTGGTTCCTAGACAAACCTACTTGTAAGACACAGCCTCTTAGAGACCATGAGGGACGGCGTTCTCGTTTCTCTCACATCGTTTCAACTCGGGTTGGAGACAGACAGACAGACTCACTCTGGTGCTGTTCTGGGCCCTGTGAACTCACTCACTCCATAACAGTAACAAATGTTAATTGTAAGCCAGGAAATATGCTAAGGACTTTACATAAATTCACATTAAAGCCATATCACGTTATTACCCCTGTGTCATCGAGTAATTTGAGGCAAAGAATTTCACTATCTAGCAGCCCAAGGTCACAGAGCCACCAGAGGTGCCTACGACAACACATCAGTTAAAACATTTTAAGTGTATTGAACACGTTAGGCTTTAAGATCTCGCTGGGTTCATTTTAACTAGGATTCCTTCAGCTGGGAGACCATGACTACAGGTGAATCACGCCATGTTCAAGTGATGTGGAAGATCTGAGTCTGTGGCAGATCGAGAACTGCCCGGTTACCCTGACACTTAAAGGCACAGCACACGCATCATAAGCTTTAGTCTCCTGTTTAGCTGCCAGAGTTTCACATCTGTGAAAACGTTTATTATGCTGCTGGAGCAGAATAAAAAAAACACCGTCGGGAAAATTAACTTAATTGTACGTGGGAAGGGACTAAGGAGAAACAGTGTCATTAGAGCTGAATAATCCTCCAACTGCAGCATAGGCTAAGTCGGGGAAACTGTGGGGGCTGGCTAACTACTTTACGACCTGATCGTTCAAATGTGCATGAAATGTACAATGTAAGTTAGAAGGAGGGTGCACACCCTATTTTGATCAAAGTATTAAATTCCTGCTTGGGGGTCTACCCTTGACAACAGTCTGCCAGCTCATTTCAGTCCCCTCTGAGCAGAACAGAAAATTTCCCAGAAGTGGGAGGAGAAGCCATGTGCGGCAGAGCTCCTGGCACCCGAGGACGGTGTTTTCAGGGAGTTCGCCGCGTTAGTTATAGTGTTTGGCTAGCAACTGAAAACACAGTCAAAAACCATCTTGCTTTTTAGAGGAAAAATTAATGAAGTGTTTCATGCACGAGGCAAGGGAGTGTGTCACAAAATACAGGAAAAAGATCCCTCCGTGGGACACATTCGGTTGGTGTTGGACATCTGTTGCCATGGGAGTGGTAGGCTCTCCATCATGACGGCACCCGCCAGTCATGGGTGTGCAGGGACACAGAGCTGAAAGGTCTCACTCAAGAGTGCCCTGCTGTCTGCGGCTACTGAGCCCTAGCACTCCAGATTCATCAAATTCACCATTAACAGTTCTGCTATAATGATTTTCATTCTGGGCCAGCAAGACCTCTAACGCAAAGCCAAATCAAAACAAAACCCCAACCCAAACAAAAACAGGGAAAGCAATTTCGGCTGCAGTTCTGTAAGGTTATGTCCGCATCTCTGAGACCATGTCACCAGCACGCACATCTTTAGTCAAACGGACCAGAGCTGAACTGCTGATCATGAAAATGAGGGCAAAGTTAATAGCATTCTCTACTGTGTCTTAGTTCTAAGGTGGATTTTTTTTTTTTTTTTTTTAAACTTCAGACAGAGAGAGAGAGAGCGCGAGAGCGAGCAGGGGAGGGTCAGAGAGAGAGGGAGATACAGAATCTGAAACAGGCTCCAGGCTCTGAGCTGTCAGCACAGGGCCTGACACGGGGCTCAAACCCACGAACCGTAAGATCATGACCTGAGCCGAAGTCGGACGCTTAACCGATTGAGCCACCCAGACGCCCCATTCTAAGGTGGAAATTAAAAAGACTAGGCCTGCGGTAAGTCACGAATTAAAAAAAAATTTTTTTTTTGATGTTTATGCATTTTTAAGAGAGAGACTGAGCATGAACGGGGAGGGGCAGAGAGAGAGGGAGACACAGAAGTCTAAGCAGGCTCAAGGCTCTGCTAATAGCACAGAGCCTGATGTGGGGCTCCAACTCACAAGCTGTGAGATCATGACCTGAGCCCAAGTTGGACGCTTAACTGGCTGAGCCCCCCAGGGACCCCTCTCCAGCTCTTTTAAGACGGGTTCTATCCTGGGATGCTGAAGAAACACGAGAAACACCAGGAGAGTTTATTTACTCCCGTTGCCTCAGTCTCCTGAGTCAGCAAAGAAAGGATGACTCCCTACCCTTTGAGGAGCACTTAAATCTTTAGGTCAAGGTCTCAAACTGTAACTACTCATGAAAACAAGAATCAAGATTTTAAAAATAAAAAGGTGAGGTTTCTCGAAGAACAAACTGCTTTTCCCTGCCAAATATTTAGATCCAATTCAAATAACGTTTCTGAGCATCGTTTATTGGCAAAGGCCCTGTGTTTATGAATGCCAGATATCCACCTAACTCTCACAGCCAGTGGGTCCTGAATCTGCACACCCCCCACTCATCGCTGGCAGATGTAATCCTTCTGGCATGTGCTTAATTAGCCAAATGAAAATGTATCTCAGTCTTTCTTTGTCCTTCATGAGCTTGACATTTTTGAAGAGCTCAGCAAATCAGTACTGGATAAAATTTACATAATTGTACTGTGGTAACAGAACAGCATATCTTTCAGTTGTAACCACACTGTGTCTTTAACTTACTCTCCAGTGTTCCAGGAAAAAAAAAAAAAAAGAAAAAGAAAAAAAAAACTTTAAAGGAAGTGATAGAAGACGGGACGTTGATAAAAACAGTTACTACTTTGAGAAGATAGATCAAGCGTGTGACATCTGGGGAAGAATATATGGTAATTCTTTGTATTGTTTTTAGAACTATTTTGAAAGTCTGAAATTACTTCAAAATAAAAAGAAAAATCTATGTCTTGACAAGAATATAATGTATTAAAGAGACTTTTTGGTAGCAAAAGGAGGACAATCCCAACACAGAGCTGTGTGTCATCTTTTCTGTTTAAATGAGCTGTTCAGAAGAAGAGAGAGGCAAATTTTGGAAGGTGATGTTGCAGAGTCTTAAAGGGAGAAAAAAGATAGAAAAAAAGTGTTTAAAAGGTGCTTAATTAAAACAAAAAAAGCAATATACTCACTGTCCAAGCCCGGATGGCTGATTGTCATTAATGAGATGGATTTTGTCAATGGAGAAGAAATGGCTGATGTACAGTAATTAAATCCCTGTTGTTTAGATCTGTGACATGCCTGTGAAGTTAAAAAAAAAAAAAAAAAAAAAGTGAAAAACAGGATCTAAGTATATGCTCTTGTTCTTTCTAGATCAGCACCAAACTTTACATTCCGACCCAACTTAGGAAAAGAATGCAGTACGGGAGAGGGCGAAGAGCACAGGCTGTGGTCAGACACCCTCATTCAAATCTGCCCCAGCTCCTTAACAGCTGCTCAACTTCGAAGGAGTTAGCTTTCACAAGCCTTAGTTTTATCTGCAAAATGGGGTTGACTGAGTAGCCATCCTGTACAGTGGTTTTCATATCCCTCAGACCTAATAATGTTTTAAACTCAGTACGTGCTTAGTAAACATCTGCTGAACACATAATCAGATGGAAGTATTTTCACTGGAGATAGCAACATACATACAGTAGTTCTTATTCTTTGATAATCTAAGTCTTTTAGACACATAGTAGAGATCAGTATTATTCTGCTTTTAAGCATGTTCTTTTTTTTAATTTTTAATATTTTTGAGAGAGAGAGAGAGAGAGAGAGAGAGAGCGCGTGCACGCATAGTGGGGGTGGGGGGGGTGGCGGACGGAGCAGAGAGGGAGGGAGACACAGAATCCAAAGAAGGCTCTAAGCTGTCAGCACAGAGCCCGATGCAGGGCTTGAACTCACGGACCACAAGGTCATGACCTGCACCAAAGTTGGACACTAGACTGACGGAGCCACCCAGGCACCCCAATATCACTCTGATTGTAGCTGGAAGCGGAGATGCAAGTAAATGGCATTTGAAGATGAAGAGCAAGGCTGCCGTGCATCTGGGAGGAAGCCTAACGCCCCTTCATCTCCTCTTCTAGGAGAAGACTGCTTCTGTGTGTACCAGGGGGCCTGAAGTTGGACGTCGCCCCCCTCGGTGGGTTCACAGCAGCTCAGAGGCTGTGTAGGGCCACGCGCCGCAGAAGCTCCTGCAGCGCGGCCCTGAGCGACAGCCCAGCCGTGCTCGCGAGCACACTGCTGGTGTGGGGGGCTCACCCTCCTCTCGTTCTGATTGCCCGTTCTAACTGTTCGGTGACTTTCACTGACACGAATCCCTCCCTCCGTGCTGGGCGGCACACGGTACGTGCTTGGGGGGAGCAGGGAAAACTCAATACTGCCGTGAACGGACTCAAGGGCGCCAGAGATCGGGTTATTCAGAGCCTGCTCCACACGTCACCACGGAGCCTGAGGCAAACAGCTGCTATGTTTCGTACACAGCTGGGAGGTCTGAGAAACGACCTCAGTGAAAGGCAGGGCCTTCAGCAGGAAGCTGGCTGCAGGCGACTTGTCCGGATCAGAGATGCCAGCAGCTCCAATCCCCACTCTGAGGTTGCACACAAGACAAAGACTGTGGGTGGGCAGAGAGTTCCGGGAAGGCAAAGCAGCACAGGAAAGCACTAACATGTCAGCAACTTCATCCAGAAAGGCTCGATCAGAAAGGCCATTTTACCAAGACTTTGGTGGCAAATGGTATCACTTACTAAGGGTCCTCTGTCTGATTCCTAGAAATATCAGTTTCAGAAAAGGTTTTACATAAACTATATTAAGAAGATTAAAACGTTCTCATTTCCTGAAACACTTCTACTTCAGAGAGGTGGAAAGCAGCTGTGAGACTTACAGCTGGGAGTCCTGAGGCGGATACTGTCCAGCCAGAAGCCAGTTACTGGGGCCGTAGGCCAGTCACTTAGGTGGGCGTGAAGCTCTCATACCCAAGGCTTACACGGACTCCAGGGGGATATACTGGCTGTAAGTCTAGGATTCTGTCCACAAACCCACAATTCTGGCATTTTACCAGGTCTTATAATGATTTCCAAAGGACTCCATACACATGAAATGCACTTTATTTTTTAGACTCTCCACTTGCCAAAGATGCTCTCAGCAAGGCACCAAAAAATAGTTTCTGTTTTTTACTCCCTTTTTCTGTTACCATTAGGCTGGATAAATTTAAATCACTTGCCTCAATAAATACATTCTCCATATTCTTTTTTAAAAATTTATTTATTTCTTAAAATGTCTTTTTTTTTTTTAAAGTAATCTATAGACCCAACATGGGACTTGAACTCATGACCCTGAGAACAAGAGTCACATATTTTTCTGACTGAGCCAGCCAGGTGCCCTTATTCTCCATATTCTTGTTATTTTTCTTAACTTTTTCTAAAGTATCAGGCTCAGAAGACCTGGGTGGTGGGGGAAGGGGACAATATGATTAAATCCCTTTGGGCCTTCAATTTGGTTTTCATAAGGCCTAAATCCTCTTAGGCTTCACATAAGTGATGCATTAAGGTGATCCTCCAGTGTCCAATTTCTTTCTGGTCATAGCATTTCTATGTATTGGGGAATACAAAACATTAAATGTCTACATAATGCCTAAGTCTCCTACTCAGAGAACAGGCTGTTTAACATTTTTGTTAGTTTGTTTAATTAGAAAGGTTTCATTACATTTCTACCTAAAAATCCAGTCACCTATCCAAAGACAGGTGTTTAATTCTGTTGTCTGTTTAATTAGAAATGTTCCGGGGGACCTGGGTCTCAGTTGGTTAAGCTTCCGACTTTGGGTCAGGTCATGATTCTGCAGTTTGAGTCCTGTGTCGGGCTCTGAGCTGTCAGCTGGAGCCTGCTTCGGATTCTGTGTCTCCTTCTCTCTCTGCCCCTCCCCCACTCACACTCTCTCTCTCTCTCTCTCTCTCAAAAGTAAACAGACATTTAAAAAAATTTTTTTAAAAATGAAAGAAGATTGAAGTATATCACAGAATCCTCCCAGGAATCAATCCAAAGGCCCCCTGGCCCCAGAGGAGGGAAAAGGACCCGAGCAGCCTGGGCTGCTATAAGGATGAACTCCAATTCTCATGCCAACTCCCAGAAGATTTGTCCCAGGTGCCTGAGTGCTGGGGAGGTCACCTGACTGGCAGAGAGGAAGGCTAGTTGGGCCCCCAGAGGGGAGTCCCAGGAGAGTGGCAGCGTGAAGAAAGCATCAGGTGAGGGCAGGGAGTGCACAGGCTCTATGAAAAGTTCTCCCAGTGACAGGAAGCAGAGATAAAGAAACAGTCATTTCCCAGGCAATGTGAGAAGACAAAGAATAAGATTTATTTTTTCCACAAAGAGATAGGTTTGTGAAAAACTGGGGAATTTAACAATGGTACGTAGCATACTTGAGGACCCATTTTATGACTGGCATGGTAAAATAGGTCCTCAGAACCCAATTTAATATCCTGGACACTGTCCTAATTTAAAAAGGCTGCTTTGACGGAATATTTAAATCCATGCAGATGAATGGTATTCTGGAATTAGTTAAGTGCTGAAACCTTGCTTTGTGCTAGATGGGGTGTCCCAGACAATGGGTGAGCAATCCAAATTAACTAGTCTCTTAGTAAAGAAGTCTTGCTTTCTTTGTTCCTGATGTGAGGACACATGTAGGGAAGTAAAGCTAATTTTTCCAAATCAGCAGCACACACCTGCTTCAGTCTTACCTGCTGCTCAAACATCCGGTGTTCTCTCTGGCCGGATTCCAGATCCTCTTCTGAAAGAGACACCAAAGAGTCTCCCCTTTCCTCCCCACCGAAAGGGTGCCTGAGCTCTTTGGTGTTTGCAGAGTTCGCATCTAGAGTTGAGGACGGCTTGTTTCCGACACCAGCTCCTCCTGTCAAGCCCTCGAGGCTGAAACTGAACACCGAGCAAAGGAGTTAATTCATCTGATTTATGGGTCTCAGAAAGGAAGGAGGATACGAATGTGCTTTGAGTGTTGCTGTAGATTTTTTTTCTTTTAAATTTTTAATGTTTATTTACTTTTGAGAGAGAGAGAGAGAGAGAGAGAGGGAGAGAGAGCGCGCGTAAGAGAGCGTGAGCTGCGGAGGGGCAAAGAGAGAGAGAGACACAGAATCTGAAGCAGGCTCCAGGCTCTGAGCTGTCAGCACGGAGTCCGATGTGGGGCTCGAACTCATGACCTGTGAGCTCATGCCCTGAGCCCAAGTCGGATGCTTAACAAACTGAGCCACCCAGGCGCATCGATGGTAGATTATTTCTCTGTTACCTAGCAAAGCTATCGACCAGGGCATGGCACAAACGAGCGCCACCTACCTGTCTCCCAATAGGTCTTGAGAGGCTGAGAAAGCATATGCACTTCGGTTTATTTCTTCAATTTATTCAAATGTTGACCATGTAAGGTCATTTTCTCAATATTTTTTTTCCAATATACCATATTGGTAGACCAGATTATCTTATTTATCATTTATGTCTGTGTGTTTTTCCTTGATCTGATGTAATTAATCTCTGCCAAAATCGAACTCAGATAATGCCAAAGAATTCAACGGCACAGAGAAAACAGGTCATGAGTAGCTCTCAGAAGATGGACAGCGACACTCAGACTTGCCCCTGTGTCGGTTAACTGGACCTTTAGAACTTTACATTCAACTACAGGCCAGCTGACCTTTCTAATTTCACAGGTACCTGCCCACCAGGAAGCCCGGGACCACGCGTGAGCAGGATGGTCTGTGTCCATCCGGCCACACAGCCCTACTGGTCAGGCCTCCCGGGAACTGCTGGCTGCAGATGGGCACGCAGGGCACCTGAAACAACTATATCTAGGAGTTTTAATTTTTTGTCTTGATATTGGCTCAAAAAGGGGGCAAATTTAGGATATGGTATATAGAATGGGATCCCTGGAAGACAGATTTTGTGGTTTGCAGAGTGGAAAGCATTTTTTTAGTACAGAGGGAGGGTGGCCATCTACGCGCCTTGGGGTTGCTGTGCACATCTGGCACAGCTGCAGTGGGAACTTCTTCTAAAATAAGTGAGATCTCAAAATATAGCCAGAGCGGCCCGTGTTCTCACTTACAAGCGGCTGGAAGTGCATTTGAAGGTATACCGAGCTATTTAGTTATCTCTGCTCAAACTGAATAGTTAATTCTACAAATAATTCACGTACACCAGTCCAGAAGGGCTTGTGTTTGCTTTTTTTAATTTCATAAATTACTTATTATGAACTGAAACCGTATGCCTCTATTTGTCCCTAGTGGGTAATTTAAACAATGGATTTTGTTTTTCTTATTTCAGGAAGACAATAGAAACCATGATGAAGTAGACGTAAATGTATCTGTAAAACTCATTTTCAATAGCAGGGATAAGACAGGCTAAGTGAAGAAGAAATTTAGTTTTCTATTGTGAATTGTTTATAAAGCCTGGGAAAACCAGATCTCTTATTACCACAAAACTTAATCCTGAAAATGTTTCAGTAATTAAATCTGGCTGCCTAGCTGAAAGAAGCATATGAAACACTGAGGAATCTACGAATTTGGAACCTATTTCGTAGGTGGACTTGGAAACATAAGAGAAAGAAATTCATCTTATTTGCTGCCTTGCTTCTGTCACTCTTTTCCTCAGGATGCGGGACCCTCCCGGTTCTGGGGATCAGGACAGATCAGAACAGAGAAAGAAAAGGTCCACCATACCGCAGACACAAGTCTGTGCAGAGAACACCAAACCTACAGCCACGTGACACACAGGAAGCATCAGGACACACCATCCGGCTCCTAGGCTGTACCCCTCCAATTGGATCAGTGATGCCTGGAGCAGCGGCAACTCAACCCTGTGCTCACAGCCAAAGCGGGCCGCCATATGCATTCTAGCCACCCAGAAGCAAGCTCCCAGCCCAAAGCCCAGGTGCCGTACTTTACGATTCCCCCTGTGGTGGCTGGACGCATAACGATACCGTACCTTCTGTAATTAAAGTCGGCACTCAGGGCGGCAGAGTATCGCACACCAGAAGGACACCAGCTCATACTGGGGATGACATCAAAGGCAGAAACAGAAATGGAGGGAGAAAAGAGCAAACAGGGATAGGATTACTGGGTTTGAAAAGAAAGGCCACAGTTATAGACAGATGGAGTTATTGGATTAAAAATTAGGAACGTAACACTTAGAATTTAGAAAAAGACACAAAAACCAGGGAAACTTAAAACCGTGCTACTAATGACCCTCTTAAGACAGTGCGTTGGAAAGGACTGTGTGAGTCTGTTACAGGGTAACAAGTCCAATTTGAAACCCAAGAATTCTTTCTGGCGGACTCTGAACAGAGCCCCCTCTGTCCGTGGCCTCTGCCTCAGGTGTCTCCAGGGCTGCAGCCCCGGGGCTGGGGACACTCTCTTCACAAACCCCACCACTCCCAGACCTCCATGACCATGGCCTATGATCCCTAACTGCACCAAACCCATCCTTGATGAAAAGGGACAATGACAAAGTGCACTGGGACTGAGTCACCAGTTTTCGTCAGGGGTTTCCAGGAAGGGTCCATCTAAGCCAGACACAGTCTAAATTTTTCATAATAACAATATCCCATCAATACTCACACCCACCTTTCAACCCTACTCACTAGGCTCTTAAGCAGCTGAAGATAAAGCAAGGTAACAAAGGTCACACTTCCTTGTATTTTAATGATAATGAAGGCATTTACTTTTTCAAAAGAAAAGGAACTCCACGGTACTAGATTAGAAATTGGTTTTAATTTTAGGTTTCCCCCCCACAAGATTAAAAAAACAAACAAACTCATCTGATCATCCACTTTGACTACCTCAGCACTAATATTTATTTTCAAGTGGGAGGAACAGAAACTCTGGGTAACATGTAAATATAACCAAGTTAAAAAAAAACCCAATTCAAAATATGAGGTATACTGTAAAGGGAGCTGCATCAGTAGGTAAGGATTTCTGATGGACAGAAGCTATCATTTAAAAAGTACAATGCTGCTATTTGGGATCTTAAAATTCAAAGAGAAATCCTTTTGATTTGGAAGGGGGAGAACATTAACACCCACTCATTTCCCTCTGGAATCCTGCAAACGGGAAGATCTGCAGACCCTCAAAACCCCTAAGCCTGAATACACCTAATAAGGGTTTTGTTGATAAGTGGGTGTTTTTAGACAGGGAAAATGGCGGGAGACTAAATAGAAGAGCTACCCCTAAAAGTAAGTCTTTAAAATCAATATCTTAACATTAATTTAAATAGTAAAACACTTAAAGCCACATTAAAGCTCCCAAGGGCAGAAGCAGAAAGGATAAATTCACATCTCAGACATAGTTCTAGTCTGTGATGCGGTATCAGACTTATAATTTGCTCGTGTGAGGAAAGCAAGCCTTAATATACTTTGAGACTCAGAAGTCTACTCTCTGAAATTATTAACTCAATTTTGAATTTCCAAACTGTTAAGAAAAATTTTTAAAAGTATCCAATTTATTAAAAACACTATTCAAAAACACAAATCTCCTTCTACAGAGGTAAACATCCCTTTACTCTCAGAAAATGATAATGCTGTGAGAGAGCAGGATGAAACTGAGGCTGGAGAGAAAGAGTGAGCGGGAGACAGGAAGAGGGGCCGTACAGCACTCCTGAGGCTCCAGGGAGGAGCCGGCAGACTTGCCCTTGCTTCCAGAAACAAACTCCTTTCACCAGAGCGTTCGGGAGCACCCTAAATTTCCTCAATCCCTCCATCAGTGGAGCGGGACATTTAATGGTTCTCTGGCCTTGTTTTGAGATTTAGGAAATTCTAGATTTAAAAAACCCCAGAAATATCCCATTCCCACACCTTTTAATACTGGAGGGGATGCTTCCGTTTGACTAGCTAAGGCTTCGTATACAACTTTACATTATACTTCAGGCTCCTCCTGCAGAAAGAGGAATAAGGGTGAAGTGGGACCTGGCGCTGTCGCGAGGCTTCGCCTCCATGCTCACTGGGCCCGCATCCAGCAACCTGTCACCCTCCACTGTCAACACGTGCATGCTTTTAATAAGGTCGCACTGAAGAGCTTTAATGGAGAGCCAGAGAGATCTCTAAAGGTTTCAGGGGCCTCTACTGAAAAGGGCATTTGCCAACTTGTTCCCTGCGAGAAAAACTTAACGGAGCCAGGATTACTGGAGATTCATGCGAGCATTTGTATTCAAACTACATTTTGTGCCTGAAATCTGGAATTAAAGGAAGTGCCCCCTTTCAAAGACAACGTGGGGAGGATCTCTATGCACCAGCTTCAGTTGAGAGTTCAAAGTACCTCCTTACACGTGTCTCCCCAACTTCACCATCATCTGGGGATTTCTAATTCTCTTTCCCCAAACCGTGGAAGAGTAGGTCACGAGTGACAACTTCTGAACAAAGTAAAACTCAGCATCTGAAGAGCAAATCAGCACTGTGCGACTAGAAATGACTTTTCAGCTTATAAATTGCTAATTTTTAGCTTTAAAATGTTACTTGACAAAAAGTAAGGAATTAAAATACTGCGAGGGCCCCAGAGAGAGGAGATGATGCCTCTTACTTGCTTTAAGAAATGATTACATCAACAATGGAGTGGACTCTCCAAGGGGGAAAATTATTAAAAAAACAAAACAAACAAATACAATGTTGTACAAAGTGTCAGGTGGCTAGACACAAAGGCTTCCATCCAGTTACTAAAGAATGTGTAGAAAATATGTTAAGGCCTGTGTGCCAGCACACAATTATTTCTGGTTCTTTGACCTTTGGGGCAGGAGGAGGGGAGGTGGAGAGAACGAAAGAGCACTCCTCAGGGTCTATTAGATAGGACAATCGACGCATCTCTGAACTCCCTAGGGAGAACTGGAAAGACCCTACTACCAAAGTGATCTGAACACAAGTACAAGATGGAATAAAACACACGTTAAAAAAGCTTTTTTTAAAGATAAAAGTTGAAAAGGAAAAAATTACACATTCATGAAACCATTTCATATGCAACGGACATCAGCAATTAACAAATACCTATATTTTATTTGCCTGAAGCAGACATGACATTGTTTTAAAGGACGGTTTAATCGTGGATTAAGCAAAATGAGATGCTTGTTAGTACACTGAGCTCAGAGGCAACATGGTTAGTCCATCAAGTGAATGAACTCTGTACCTTCTCCTATGAATGGGGGGTCTCCTGACAACGTCCCCAAGAACTCGCAATGAACTGAAAATGAATGGTGGAAGAGGTCAGTGTCGAGATGAAACAAAATGGACACAAATGCATGAAGCACACGGACATCAACAAAGGGAAGAGACACAACCCACACAGACAAACGGTACAGAAAGTCAGGGAATGAAAAACTGTGCAGTAAGAAACATCAGAACCAAAAAGGCCAGATAGCCTGACAATTGCTGGGGAGGATTACTTCGCTCCCTCCCTCTAAATGAGGTTTATTAAATTACAAAAGTAAAAGGATTTACAAAGGCCATTTGAAGCTGTAAAAGGGTCCTCAGACTGTAAAATTCAGGTTATGCTCTACACAGATAACACTGTAAGCATTAGTCAAATTAATTCAAGTCATTCCATTATCTCCAGAGGCACAGGGGCGGTGGTGTGAGGTGATCCTTAAGGCTAGGCTCAAATAGGAGAGGCCATGATGCCGCAGGGGTTGAAAATAAAAGATAACTGGATAAGGTTCTAGTCTTAGTTCAGTCTTAAGATCAGCATGTGATCTCAGGCAAATCACTGGGTCTGAGCTTCAATTTTCTCATCTGGGCTACAGTCCTTTCCAGCCCTGAAATCAAAGTCTGAGCACAAGGACCCAAAGTGGAGCCTATAAAGAAACAAGGATTGCATATAAACCCTTGTTTCTCGATGCTGTCATCATCTGTGACAGTATGTCCTTGCATCCTTCCTTCCTTCTCTCCTCCCTTCTTATTTACTTATTTATTTATATTGGTATGGATGCTTTTTTAAAAAAGTACAGCATGAATAAAGCTGGCAAGGAAAGCTTTTATGTTTATTTTATAAAAAAAATTTTTTTTATGTTTATTCATTTTTGAGGGGGGAGGGAGGAGCAGAGAGAGAGGGAGACACAGAATCCGAAACAGGCTCCAAGCTCTGAGCTGTCAGCACAGAGCCTGACGCGGGGCTCGAACTCACTGGCCGACGTTTAACCGACTGAGCCACCCAGGTGCCCCAGGGAAAGCTTTTAGAAATTGCTTTTTACATAATCTATGATTTTGACTGTGTATAAAAACTACCCAGCAGATAAAACTGCTCATTCTTTTTATTTAAAAAGAAATTTAAAAAAAAAAAATTAAAAAGAAATTTCTGAGAGAGGGAGAGAGACAGCGTGAGCAGGGGAGGGTCAGAGAGAGAGCGAGACACAGAATCTGAAGCAGGCTTCAGGCTCTGAGCTAGCTGTCAGCACAGAGCTCGATGTGGGGCTCGAAACCATGAACCATGAGATCATGACCTGAGCCGAAGTTGGACACTTCACCACGTGAGCCACCCAGGCACCCCCAAAACTGCTCGTTCTTAAAGACTTTATCCTGAACTCCACCATGGAATAATACGGAATCACAGAAAATTACATGACATAGGTTGTTAAATGAGTCTGAGAAGGGTGGCAAATTAAGAAGGTGTAAGGCATTACTGCGAGCTCTGTGAAGGCAGGGCTTTGTCTCTAGAACCTAGAAATGCCTGGCATATAGGGGGTGCTCAATGAATGTTGGCTGAACAAAAGAATAAATGAGGGGTGCCTGGGTGGCTCAGTCGCTTAAGCATCTGACTCTTGGTTTCAGCTCACATCATGATCTCATGGTTTCGTGGGTTTGAGCCCCACATCAGGCTCTGTGCTGGCAGCATGGAGCCTACTTAGGATATATTCTCTCCCCCACCCCCCTGGCTCACACTGTCGGTCTCTCTCAAAAATACATAAATAAAACCTTAACAACAACAACAACAAAAGAACAAGTGAATGTAATCAGATTACATGTACCTATAGCTATGAAATCTGAGCCATGTCAAGGAATTTTTTTTTTTTTTTTAAAAAGCAGTAACTGCTCCAGGTGAGTTGTTTTAAAACAACTGTCAGCCTGCGCCCTCAGCTGCTTCTCATCAAGAAAGTAGCTCTGCTGTAAGCACAACTTTGTACATCCAGTGGGCGTTATGGATGCCCACTTGTTCGTCAGAGCTGAAATCATTTGCTTAAATTCCTGTAAGCAGACTGTGGTCAGACAGGAACTGTGAACTACCTTCTCACAGCCTGCTTCCAAGGAGAAGGTCTGAGGCCAGGTCACATGTATGATTTCTACATGGAAAGACACCAACAATTCAATGATACTGAATGATTCTCCTGTTGTCTAGCTGTAAGTAATAACTTACAATTTAACAAAACTTTCTGCATTAGAAATGGATGGCAATTCCGGGGAAACACTTCAAAAACGAGGAGTGTTTGGACTGTAAGATTTCACGTTTATTTCAATACTGACAGGACACTATTCCCTCCAAAAGGTTTTAATCTACGAATTTTATGAACAGATCCGGCCTGAAGGACTGTTCCTGTTTATTAAACACCCACCAGGCAGCAGACATATATCACTTGTGATTTTTATTATTACACCTATTCTGAGACATAGGTATTATACAGATGAGAAAATTAAAGCCCAGAGGGGTCAGGTCACTTGCCCGAGGTTATCTACACAGTGAGTTCTAGAGCTGGGGTTTGAACTCAGATCTTCCCGATTCCACAGCCCTCTAGGTTTTCTTCTGTACCACAGTGTCTCCTAAATTCTTTATCACGATAACACCAGATCACAAGATCAAAAGCAAGCAGACACAGAGACCACACGAATAGCCCGGCCGGGTCCCGCTCACCTGCGCTGGTTCATTTCGGCGTCGCTGGCCGCGTTCTTCCCGGGACCCCAGCTGTGCCTCCGGAAAGGGGACAGGGAGCGCATAGAGCCCCTCAGCACAGAGCAGTTGGAGGGCACTTCGGTGATGCTGTCCATCTCCTCCTCGTCCATCTCACCTGAGCCAGCAGCTTCGCCCTCACTCTCTCGACCCTCGGCTCCCGCCCCATGGCTGTAGAAGCTGTCAAGACACTGCTGATCTCTGGACCTGTTCAAATTTGAAATCTGGGGGAGGGATACATCACTGCCATGAGAGGAATGTCGATCCAAGGAAGCCGTGTCATCGGTGGAAGAACTGGACCCGGTGATATCACAGACGGACTGCTCTTCCTCAGGCTGTAATGGAGAGAAGGCACGCACAGTTGAAAACAGCAGGGCCCAGGACAGCCTCATAACTCCCGGCCCAGGAGTGGCTGCAAACAGATATTTCCCTTCTTAAAGCATGATTAGAGTTGGATTCAAATGGCCGCTGATGAAGGCAGGTGTAGGTGTGTGCTCTTCTGCCCCTCTGATTAGAGGCACACAGACCGTCCCTTCATATGGGGGACCAGCATCTGCCTTGCGCTCAGGTCAGTTCTGTAGGCCAATACCATCAACTGGAAAGAAGAGAGCCCTTGAGTTACCTGGGGTTTCTGCCACCTAAAAACTCAGAACTCATATAGTCTTAGGTTTAATTCTTGCCCACCCCCCAAGCTTTAACCAAAAACAAGTTGTCTGCTTGGCTACAATAACGTCATTCCGAAGTCAATATTCCAAAAGCAAGTCTGTAATTGTTTCTAGAGGCCTTTTGCAAAATGCGCAATCACTTATGACCCTACCTAAGGTCTGCCAAAATGCCCACATTCTGGCCACAAATGCCTGACTAGAAGAAACGATTCCTTTTCCTCATTTCACGTGGAAATGGCAGGGTTATCAAACTTAATCTCACATGAAATCAAGTCCTGGCAATGGACTCTTTAGTAAGTGATGTTCTTTTTCCCTGGCCAACTTCTGGAGCCTAAAACAGGACAGTTTTGATCCCGAGTAGCCTGACAGTCCTCTGTTTGCTACACACAGCGAAACACATAAACTGAGGGAAAGATGAGCACTCTAACAGTCTAAGGATGAATCAGTCCAGAAGATACACAGAAGTGTTTAGAATACACATGATCCCCTCTCAGACTCCAGCACTGATCTGTCTTAGCATCTTTACTGTGTTCTTCTAGAACAGACAGCGGGGAGAAGGGAAAGCCATTCTGTGCTTATTTTTCCTTCTTCACAGCAGTTTCCTAATTAGCCAGTCTACTCAAAGCTTTAATTAAAGAGTAAAGAAACTTACAGTTCTTTGAGAAAGATTTTTAAAATTATGCAAACTAATGAGCACTTTCAGCTTTGGAACAGAAAACAAGACCTATTCTAGAAGGAGAGTATTTTCAAATGTTTATGTTAACACTTCAAAAGCATTCTTTCTAACGTTTGGGCTGAATCTCACTAGCTCTGAGAGGAGTTTTTCTCCACTCTGTGGCATCCGGTTTCCTCGGTTAATTGCTCCCTAAATGATGCGTGAGGCTGGGACTGAGAGGGAGGTGGGGGTCCCTGGGATCCAGATGGGCTCTTGGGCCCTCCCAGTGCACGGAGCAGGATGTGAACCCGGGGCGATCGCAACTAAAACTGCCCAGTTCTCATCATCTCTAAGAAACCCTGTATGGATAAGATCTCCAAGTCCCTATCAGCAAAGTCCTGTATGCACTTCACTGGGCTGCACTATAAAATGATGCCTCCACCAGACAGGTTCTAAAATAGGGCAGGTATTGTTTTTAAAATAAAATCATCAAGGGGCGCCTGGGTGGCTAAGTCAGCTGAATGTCTGACTCCTGACTTCGGCTCAGGTCATGATCTCACAGTTTGGGAGTTCGAGCTCTGCAACAGGCTCTGCGCTGTCAGCCTGCTTGGGATTCTGTCTCCCTCTTTCTGCTCCTCTCCCACGTACTCTCTCTCTCTCTCTCTTAAAATGATGGGGCGCCTGAGTGGCTCAGTCAATTAAGCGTCTAACTTCAGCTCAGGTCGTGATCTCGTGGTTTATGAGTTCGAGACCCGCGTCGGGCTCTGTGCTGACAGCTCAGAGTCTGGAGCCTGCTTCAGATTCTGTGTCCCCCTCTGTCTCTCTGCTCCTCCCCCATTCTCTCTAAAAAAAAAAAAAAAAAAAACATAAAAACAAAACCCTAAAAAAAAATTTTTTTTTTAAAAATATTTTTATTTATTTCTAGGAGAGAGAGAGAGACAGCATGAGCAGGGGAGGGTCAGAGAGAGAGGGAGTCACAGACTGAAACAGGCTCCAGGCTCTGAGCTGGCAGTCAGCACAGAGCCCGACGCGGGGCTCGAACCCACGAACCGCGAGATCGTGACCTAAGCGAAAGTCGGACGCTTAACTGACTAAGCCACCCAGGCGCCCCTAAAAAAATTTTTTTAAATAAAATCACCGACTATTCTTTTTGTGAGTGAGGATTAGCCTGTGCACCCTAAAGCAGCCTGTCATGGGGCTGCTCTCCAGAGGAACAACATAAATGGTCACAAATACGAAGTTCAGGATGTCAGCGTTCTCACTGCGTTCTCCTCAAATTCTGTCCTTCTCAGAATGTGACCTTATTTGGAACCTGGGTCTTTGCAGATGTCACTGGTTCAGATGAGGTCATACTACGGCAGGGTGGCTGCGGTGTCCTCACAAGAAGAGACGGGGGAGACACACCGGGAGGCAGGGCCTGGAGCAATGGGTCCACGGCCCAAGGACGGCCGCGCAGGGCCCGACCAGAGCCTCCCGAGGGAAAGTCGCCCTCGACACACCGGCAGTAGGGCCTCCTGCCTCCAAAACAGCGAAGGAGCGAAGTTAGGTTGTTTCAGCCCCCTGATTTGTGCTAAGTGGCCACAGCAGACACAGGACCATATGTCCTGCCCCACAACTGCTGGATCTCCAGGTCGAGGCAGTGCCAAAGGACCAACAGAACGGGCGCCATCAAGCGGAGTGTGGGACAAGCCTGTTCTAAAGCCCGCAGGCAAGGCTTTGAAGGAAACGAAAAGTTGCTGAGGGCTCCAGTTAGCCATTCATCATCTACTCTCACAACTCCATGCTTCCCGATCAGGAAGTGACGTGCGGACGGAGGAACAGGCCCCGCTCAGGGTGGCCCCGCAGCCGCCCTGGCACCTCGCTGCCCTGAGACGTAAAGAACGAGCATCCACCCTTTTGTGGGACATGAAAACAAGGTGGGAAAGGTACTGGTGGCCTGTCTGTGCACATTCTGGAAAGGGAGAGCCCTGTCCAGTGTAGCCGCTGCACGGTGCTCGATGTGTGTCATGACTTTCTCGGTGTGTACTTTAAACTCTGATAAACAAAAAAATTCCTAAAAACTAAAATAAGGTAGTTTTTTTTTTTTCTTTCTTCACAGTACACACGAGTTCTTTCATCTTGCACTCCTGGTAAGAATGAAGTGCACAGAGTATTCTCACACTCAATTATTTTTATTGTACCTTTCAATTCTTACTTATAATGAGCTGGTGGTTATTACCCAAGAAAGGGAAAAACAGGACGAACTCAGAAATAATGACTGATCTCAATTAAGTACCGAGGCGAATGGTTTGGCTTTAATGCTGTACTGAATCTAAAGAAGGCTCTGAGTTACTTTTTCCCAAGACTTAAAGTGTTCTTAAAAGAATTTCACGACTTCGTCAAGTCTTCACACTATCCTGGCAGAATAGAAAGTGGTCCCTGGCGGAACCAGGAACCAAACCTGGAATGTGGTCAGAGTCTTTTGATAACTACATATGTGTCCATGGAAAAGGCACTTTTTCACTTTGTCTAATATGATGATCTTTACGTCTTAAGAGCTTAGACCTTAATATAAGGCCTGTTGCAAGTACTATTTTTAACCATGCGCAGGGGAAACAAGTGGTTTTTTTTTTTTTTAATGTCTGAATTTTCTTTTCTTTTCTCTCTCTCTCTTTTTTTTTTTTTGCAATATTCCTTTCCAGTCCCTGAACTTATTTGTGCTCTAGTTCTTAGGAATATCTGCCAAATGAGAATATGAGGACTGTTAATTCCGTCATTCTCCCCTCTCCTCACAGAAAGGTTTTAGGGATACTGTTTTTCCATTTATACATCAGAAGGGGGAAAAAGTTATGGCTTCTGTCACATAGTAGAATGTTCCAGGCCTAATATTTGAAGCCATTCTTAACGGTTTTTAAGTTACATGTCAGTCTTTCTTTAGAGAGGTTTTTTAAAATGACTGCGAATTAAATAACTTTCAGAGACTTTGGAAATTTGTCCTGATTGTATGGAAAAATGGTGCTATGGATCAGTTTAACCAGACACGTTCAAAAACCTGGTTTTGACTCCATGTAAATCCAATGTATTAAACTGATCCCATGGCACCATTCCTCCAGATAATCAGGAGTAACAGCCCAAGTTCCTGAAAGTCATTCAATATATTTAATACACACACACACACACACACACACGAGGAAAAAAATCCATAGCTTTTCTTCCCCTAGTCTTACAAGCAGATGGCCAAAACGATACTCTGCTAAATATAAGTTGTTTTTCCCCCTTAAGATGCGGTACGGAGAATGGCAGAGAAGGCAGAGATGGAGAAAGGCAGACAAGGAGAGAAGGGGTGGTCGGGGTCGTGCCTGTGTGTGAGGGAGCAAGTGCACCTGGAGAAGAGGACACTGGGTCTATTCTGGAGACGGGCACGTGAACCCCCTCCCTGAGCTGCCATCACTGGTCCTCCTGTGCACGGGAGGACCGGAACACACACGCCTGCTATCATCTCTGCCAACAGCTTCCTTTTCCCTACAGCTTATGCAATCCTGAAACTGCCAATGGTCACCAGGCTAGCAAGAGTCTGCAGCAGTCAAAGACAAAAGCTTGCAAGGGAACGGGCCAGTAAGCATCACGAAGGTTTGCACCCTGCTTTTCTTCAAAAGCCCAGCTTCTGCCGGACAACTTGGACTTCAGGGGCAGGAGCGGAGCTGATGGAGTGATCCAAGGATAGCGTTTTGCTTAATTTAAGGCCAAATAAACTAGGAAAACTGAAACTACCAAATAATGATGTAACTAAAAAGTTAACAAAAAAGGCTAAATAATGATGCTGTCTATATGCGCCGCCGCTTGAAAATGTAGGCCTGTCACTTAATATACGTGCAACATGACTATTACATAAATGAGTCCTAATTACAGGATACTCATCACCTGTGGGGGTCTATATTAAGTGATTTAGATGTATTCCTTTAATATTTGATTTACTAGCTACGGTGCCTGGGTGGCTCGGGCAGCTGAGCATCTGAATCTTAATTTCAGCTCAGGT